CTTGGAGAAAATGTTTCGATCAGGGAAACCTGTCCCACAATAATGAGTGACATACCCATCCTCCATGCCAGGCTGCAGGTAGAGATGAGCATGAACTGGCCGCAACCTCTGGATAACGTGAATACACAACCTCTGGAACATCTGGAAGACAACAAATTAAAACAAGAAAATTTAAATTTAAAAGTCAATTTAAAGACAAACTTTCACTGACAATAAGTTCAGAATGACGTAAACAGAGTTACAATATAGCTATAAACATCGAAAAATAAAATATGAGTGCTTTTGAGTCGTTTTGGTAAAGCATTGTCTCCTCCACCTCAATCTAACCCTTTTCTTAGAATCACCCCGTCTGCCTGCCGTCTTCGTTCACTACATAAATGAACCTTCTGTTTTTTTCCTCTTTAACTCCTGCCTGGGATCCAATATATCCACTGTCCCATATGTGCACATGTCTAAACATTCTCAGTCTTGCCTGTCTAATTTTCTAATCTTCCACTACTTCGAGCTCTGCCTGTCTTTTAGGTCAGAGCCACCTTCTCCAAACCATACAGACTAGTAACCTCATATTTAGCCTAGCATCTTGTAAACCTTCCCTTTCACTCTTGCTGCTACCCTTCTGTCGTGCAACATCATTTTCTCCCCTTTAGCTACACAATAAGCATTTTTGAGCACATTACTCCAGTTTCAGTATTGTGAATGTTGTTGTTTTTTGAGGTTTGTTTTGTGTACAGTGATGTTTTATGACTTGTCCCTGACCTGTCTGACAATCTGATTGGGACACTTTATTAGGATCTGCATCGGCCACCAGTTGTCATCAGCCATCCGGTCTAAAAACCACTGAAACAGAAAAATAATGATCAAAGTTTATTCACAGTATCCATTTACTTTGCTGTAATCACCAGAATAAAAAGGTTTAAAACTCAAACCTCGCAGGCGGCCTGGCTGTTGTTGAACTGTTTGGTCAGCAGTTCAATCCACTGCAGCATGGTGGGCTGGAGGTAGCAGAGCAGAAAGGATTAACATAGTCTATCAGTAACTTCCTTCCTCCTCCCCTTTCTTTCCACTTATCTTTACAAATTAACAACACTCAGAAAATGATAACAGTAATCAGGATGAGTGTGCATTACCTTCTCCTTGGAGTGAATGAAAGTCTCAAGGACAAAGGATGTGCTGAGCTGCAAATGAAAGGGGAAAAAACAACAGTAGAAAAGCAAGTTTTAGTTAAACTAATTAGCATTGCAAATCTGTGACATCATGCAGCATGGTATAAATGTTTTTAGAAAATGCGGTGAGTTAGAAAATAGATTAAAATAACATCTTTCTGAGTAAAAGATGCAGAAACTTTTACCCACTTTCATTTTCTAGATCTAGGGCTTCAGCCAGCTGTTATTCCAGCGTGTTTTATCCAAAACCCAAAGTAGCTAGTTTTCTTATTTTAAGAGAGAACTGTTCCATTTTTTAGTACTTTTGTAGTAGAAAAGTAAAAACAAAAAAGTATTTTTATTTTAAAAACTATTTCGCACAATTACAGTTTATACATTTTCTCAAAAATCCAGGTTTCAAGTCAATAAAAGCCAGAAAATAATAGCTAAATGCTTGTATTACTTCTCACCTTGGCAGTCATGAGGGAGACAGCTTTGGGGTCTGGCAGGGTGCTGGGGATGCTGCTGCAGAGCTGCCACATGAAGCTGAAACAATGACAAGTCGTGCCATTGAGTGAGTAGTGATCAAAAAGGCCAATAAGATGTGACCAAAAATACAAACTGATTCATGCTCACCCAAAGTAGGTGTGTTCAAATATGTTTTTATCCTGCAGAAACTGCATGTTGTCGTGCCAAATCCACTGAAAGAGAGAGTTGGGCATTTAAATGGGGGATTTAACAGGAGTAATGCATAGAGATCTGCTACGTTTAAAACAAAAAAGCACAGTCAGTACCTCAAGTAGATCAGGAGAGACATCAAAACTAAAGTCCTTCCCATTGTCGTCCTCCGGTTCCACTCTCTTGTAGAAGAGCATGTAGGCACTGTGTGTCTGCAAGTTTGATTATCATTTCATTGTTACCT